ACACACACACACACACACACACACACACACACACACACACACACACAAATGCATACAAACAGAACTGCCTACGCACCTTTGAAAACAAATAGCTCCCAGGGCAAGAAAGAAGTCAATATGAACACAGTCACATAACATGCACACACGCACTTGGCACATATTGTGTGGGATTCCGGTAGGAGTACACTTTAAAGCAAAGCAACATACATTTTTCAAGCGCATTTCTTGTGTTTTTTCAATGTGTGTTTGTGTGTGTGTACGTGCAAGGAGGAAGGATGGCTTATTTCAGCCTGCAGCCCCTGATAACCTCCTTCTCTCACTCTGCGTCATTTTCCACTCATTTAATGTTGTGTGTGTGTGTGTGTGTGTGTGTCTGCACATATGTATGCGGATGTCGTTATGTGCACATATGCTCTTTCTGTCCAGATCCATGTCTGGGTCGAGTCTTAGGTTTATTTACGCCTCAGTTGTGGTCCGGGCTCCAGACAACCACTGGCGGTTGAGGCAAGGCCTGAAACCAAATGTCCAGGCTCTCTCTCTCTCTCTCTCTCTCTCTCTCTCTCTCCGAGATGACTTTGCTAACGGATCTGACTGTCTCCGCCAGTCTCCGCCAGTCTCTCCCCAGGCAGGCCTCCTCCTCCTCCAACCATCACAACAACGCATTCCTCCCTCTCATGACTCACTGGGCTTTCTTACACAACAGCCACCGTCACATCGCATCTACTCGGATGGTTGTGTGGTGCATCCCAGCCACAGAATTTCAATTATTTTCTTCTTGCACATATGAGAAAATAATGGATTCCAACGTGCACAAGCAAACATACTGAGCCTTCTTTCCTCATTCCTCTTCTACTCTCACAGAATTAGACATTCAACATTTAGGCCTTCGACTGTAATTCTCTTGTCATCACTCCAGTGGGTCCCTTAGGTTTCTGACAAATTGCCCTTTCTCACATCTAAATACCTCCGCCCTGCCCCCGTGTGCTGCGTATTCCTGCAAAGTGCTGCTGAGCGGCACAGGAAGGAGAAAAGGAGAGAGTCGGGTAGGAGAGAAAACGGCCTTTCTATTTGTGGCCCAGTGTAATTATGTGGGTTACATGCTGGCAGAGCAGGGTCTGGGAGTTGGTAGAGTTGATCTCCACCTTATTTTTCCTTCTAACTGTTATAGCCTCTCAAAAAATGCACCGCAATGATCTTGCTTAAAACAGGTGCCTTTTTTGGAGATTTCGAGTCCTCCAAAAAAGACCGGTATCAGTCGTTTGAGCAAGAGCCCCAATGCGATATACTGTATATTTAGGCATAGACTGTATATACAATGTGGACATAGTCACTGTGACGTCACCCATTGGTTTGTTGACGACAGCTTTGAAGCCTCGAGTATGGCATTTTGGCTGTCACCTTTTGTTTTGTTCAAACAGGAAAAATCTGTCTTTTCCGGAAATGATTTTTTTCACCAAAAAAAATTGCTTCAACTTATTTTTCAACAACTATAGTTTCAATAGTTGTAGACTCCAGTATGACAGAACTCCCTTTGTCGTCATCTGTTGCGCACAGAGAAAGAAACAAGGACACTGTACCGCTGCTAGCGCTGTGCCCTTGTGAATCCCTGAGGACACGCATGACTTTGGATATACTGTTGGTATAAAAAGACAAAAGGCTGCTGTGTTGAGGTAAAGTAACATGCAAGACCAAGTCCTTCAACAACCACAACAGAAGGAAGAAACTCAGAATGGAATTTGTATTATGCAGTTTTCTATAGCGCCTAAAGAAAGCATGGTGAAATCCTTTGTGTGGGTTTCAGATAATACACCAGAGGAGGAGTTGGCTGTGTCATTTTGAGTTGTTTTTTTTCTTGGTAAAGTGATTGTGGGATTGCCGGGATAAAAACTGTTGATTTCTGCAAAATGTAAGGGCATTATTCACCACATCTCTGCTGCTCAGCTGTGAGTGCCTGCCTGCTGGGTAACAGTTGGACTGTCAGATAGACCTTCGCCATCAGGCTTCTGATCTGATTATCCAGCTGGGATAATGAATATCTACGCATCTCAACTTGAATATGTTGAACAGGGAAATTTGCAAGGAAAACTGCTGACCGGTGAAATGATGAGCACTAAGTGCAGGCACAATGCGAGCATAATTACTCTGCACCATGTGGATGATTCTTTTGTCAGTTGCCAAGTACACATAATAATCTTTCTTTTTGATGATGTTTAGCGCAGTCCTCATATGCCAGTTCCAAAATGTGCGTAGACTCGAGTCCTGACACGCACACTCAAGAGTCATGACACGATGATGCTCATTGTGCATCTGCCGTGCTGTCGCCACACTGTTTCACCATCCCCCAGCCACCCCGCAAACCCGATCAGCCGCTGCCCTCTGATGGGACTGGATCTGACGGAGCAGGAAGAGCCGGCAACTACAACCCTACGCATAAATATAGAACTGGAGCCTTTTAGTTACAATAACCCAACCAACGGAGGCTTTTTTTCGACCGAGGTATGAAATAACCCAAGACATGCTATGCATACAAATGGCTTCCTCAGACGCGCTGCGCCTGGAAATTGTAAATTGGCCTCATGGTGTATTAGAGACTCACGGCCGTTTGAGGGCATGAAATGACATTGCTCATGCCTCTGGATGTCCAAATGTACTCCACTGAGAGACACAGAGAGAGAGACAAAGAGGGAGGGAGAGAAAAGTGACTCTTAACAGCCAATTAGCTTCCGCTTGATCAGGAGGTGGTGTGAGGGCCACCGTGGGAACCATAATAGCATGGAGGGAGAACATTAAGCACAATCAGTTTTAATTAAAAACTGCAGCTTTTTATTC